GGGAATGTGTGGTCTCCTAGACCAAAATCAGCACTAACCTTCCTCAGTTCCTCAAAACGAACACTGGACATCAGAAGCTACTCTGGGATTAACCAGGGCACACTGATAGCCGCAAGATCTGCTTTGATTCTGATTTGGGGCTTCCAGGCCCCTTTTCCTCTTGGAAATGACCCTGAAATTTGGCTAAAAATGTTTCTGCTGCAGTGGCGACACCTTGTGGTCAAGCAGGAGAACGCATAGGATGGTAGGGCTCCCATTCCCTCTGCTCCAGTTGGGGAGAGGGTTCTTTCCAGAGAAGCCCTGATCTGCCAGAGACACCGATGTCAACTTGACAAGATTTCACTTCTCTGCCCCAAATCCACACCCTGATCCCATGGTTTGTCAACAAACTCAGGCTGCCTTCAAGATCTTTCCCGGCTGCTTGGGAGCAGCGCCCATGCCCACCCTTCCTCCCCTAAAGTGCTCCAGCCCCCAGAATTACCCCTCCCTTCTTCCTTGAGATCCGGATTCCTGCTCCTTCAGTGCATGAAGTTCAGCTGACTGGGACAGGGCTTGCAAAGGATGCTCCGAGCCATCACATTTGTGATCTCCTCTCACCCTCTTCACAGCCTTCAGGGAAGGCAATATAATGATCATCCGTTTTGCAGATGAAGATACTCGCAGTCAGAGAGGCTGTGAGTGACTTAAGCTACAAAGTAGAGAAGTCAGCACTCAAATCCTTGTTGGCTGAACCCAGATTCCTTGTTCTTTTTACTGCTGACTTGCTTCCATTCGTCTAAGTCAAAGGAAGCAATGTTTAGTGTTGGAAATTCTGTCTTCAGGTGTAGGAGGGCTGAGGAACCCTGCTCCCCAAATTGTCCACAGTGGACTGTTTTAATGTTTTAAAAGTCAGAAATGGCTTTGGACTGATCCACAGGGGAAGAAGACATGGTAGACTCTCTAGGGTTCCGTGAGCCTGGGCAGAGCCAAAGGGTTTGAGAACCACCCACACCCTGCACCACCAGCCAGATACAAGCCTGTGCTGTTATTACCATTAACCACGCTCTTTTCTGTCACTCCCAGGTCCCAGTTCTGACTCTGAGTAAATCTTAACTTGAGGCAAGATAAAGCTTTTCCAAAGTAACTAAGCAAATCTGTCTTTAACCTCTTTCACGCCTTCAGGCTTCTCCCTTTTGGGGTCACTGAAAAGCTAAACTCTGGCTTCTAACAAGCCAAGGAGTCTTTCCTGACGGAGGCGGGAGAGCTGTGAGCGGGGAGCCCGTTTGGGATGCTCTTCAGAAGCTGCCTGTGTCCCACAGAGCAGAGCCAGCCTCCCCAGCCTGTCGCACAGGCCCTGCATGGTCTCTCATTGGGGCTTTGCTTACAGGGCACCTGCATGCATGGTCCTGTGCTGTTCCTACACCTAGCCTACTCATTCTTCAGGACCCAGCTCAGATAATGGCTAATGATTCCTAGCATTAATTGAGTGCTCACTATCTACCAGGCACTCATCTCAGTGCTTTACATGTACTTTTATTTAATCTTCACAAAATCCCTATGAGTCAATACTAGTTTTATGCTCATTTTGTAGATGTAGAAATGAAGGAACAGAGAGGCTAAGTAACATGCCAAGGTCACACAGCTAACAAGTGACAGGGCCCATGCCATACTCCTAACCACTGTGCTCTCCTGCCAGTTTAGGTAAGTGCCCCCTCCTTGGAGAAAGCTTCTCTGCTCCCTCTGCGCTCTGGGTTCCAGCACCCCTGGATACAAACTACTGTAGCATCTCCCACCTTGTAACCCTCAGCTTTGGGCCCACTTGTACACACTTTGCTGGAATGTCAGACCAACTCGTGTCCATGGCTGCCCTTCTGTGACCATTGCTGGAGTCCCTGGGCTGTTCTCAGGCCAGAGAGGGAGGCCACAGGGCCAGGAGGAGAGCTGCCAGCTGATTTTGATAGAAATTCCAGGCACTTTCAATAAAACACTTGCCAACCAGAAAGATGTAAACAAAACCAGAAGCTTGTTGAAATCCACATCTTCTAGTTTACATTTGATAGAGTGGGTTCTACTAATCATTTTTTAATTTTTTACTTATAAGAAATTTTGTTTTGCCCTCAAACAAATAAAAGGCAGAGTGATGAAGTTCAGACTGGAGCCACAATCTATGCGTTCACCTGGAGGGGCTCACCCTCCCACCCCATCTTCTCAGAACCCTTGTCTCCACCTACTGCTCCACACTCTGCCTCCCGCTTCCTTTCCATCCACACTGGGCAAGAAGCTTTCTCAGAAGTTAATACAGTGGGTCCTTCCAAGCCTTGTCTTTTTTGACCTTCAGGAGAAGTGGGTGCACCTGGCCAGGCGGTCAGTGGGTAGTAGGGCCTAGAGATTCCACTGGGGTTTTCCCACACCAGTTGGCTCCAAGGTAATGACAGTGGGATGTTTAATACAGTAGTTTTTCTTTTCTTGTCTTTTTTTCCAGTTGGTTCCCTGACCAAAAGGTCAAATACCAAGCTGTCCAGTACAAAACCGATCTCCTGGCAACCATAAGGAGAATCAACCATCTCCTTCTCTGAGAATGTGGGACCCTTACAGCAGACCTGGTTGTGTAACTGAGTGTGGTGATAAAACGGGGGCCTGTTTAGGCGATGGGGGTCAGGGGAGTCTGAGATGGACCCACCTGGACAGGGGATGGGAAAGGAGATTCCCCACCTTTAAGTGGAACCACAGAATTAGACTTGGGGTCTTAAGTGTAAACGTACACATAATCATAATCAAAACTAACACACACACACCCCTCCCAGTGCTTCTGCACAGAGTGGTAATCGATAACATGCTTAGTCAAGAGAATTCAGTTACAGGGAATAAAGAAAGCAAATTAACATGTACTATCGTATTATTTCTCACAACAACCTATGAGACAGATATTATGAGAAAACGGTGCTTAGAAAGATGGTCCAAGATACTGCAGTGCCAACTGCAGGGTGGAAGGAAGGGGCAGCCTTTGAGGGAATCTGATTGGTCAGCCCGGCGTCTCCCCTGGCAACCCGAGCCAATCAGCTGCACCGTGATGTGGGGGCCCGCCTTCCCTGCCAACCCTGTTACCTGGTGGGACTTGCCGCTCCTGGTGCAGGACATCATAGCTCTTCCAGCTGTACTGAGGGGCCGGGGAACCCTCCTGTGATTGGCAGGTCAGCTGAATGTTGTTCCCAATCACAGTCTCTCCCTCGATGCCGCAGTCGGGCTTGGAGGGTGGCACTGTAGGGAAGAGGGCCAAAGAGAAGCCATGAATTAGTTGGGGCTTGATGACAGCCACTCCCGACCACAAACACACACACAGACACACACACACACACACACACACACACACACACACACACACACTGCCTTGTTTGTTCACAGGCGGAGAAATTCACAGCCTAGTGGTAAGAGGTAGTGATATAAGATCAACCCAACCCAAATTATCCTCGGTGGCCTGTCACTGTCACAGGGAGGCAGCACACACAGTGGACAGCATTCTGAGGGCAGTAGCTTTTTAGCTTTAAAAGTGCAGTCACCATTATAAAGATGAAGACACTGAGGCCAGGGTCCTGGCAGGGCTGGGACTAGAGCCAGGTCTTCTGACTCCAGACCCACTACTCTCTCCACCAGCTCAAAGCTGCTCCCTGTGACAGTGACTTCTCTGTGCCACTTTAGGTAAATCCTTCAGTCCCTCAGTGTTCCCATCCGTTAAATGAGGGGACAGCAATCTTCTGTAAAGAGCCAAGAGATAGTATTTCAGGCCACATTATGGTCTCGGTTGCAGCATCTTCTTTTTAATTAACTGGGAATGTAAAAACCATTCTCTAGCTCACAGACCACATAAAAATAGGCTGCAGGCTGGATTTGGCCTTAGTTTGCCGGCCCATGGGCTCATTGCAGCTCTTTAGGGCCACCTCTTAGGAATGTCCCCTTCTGTTAAGCATCTCCCTCTTCCCATGCTTTGCTGATAAAATGAAATTGTTATGAGTAACTGGGTGATGGGAGAGACCCCAGGCGGCAGCAGTGTTGTGTGTGGGGTGGAGAATGAGGGCTGAGGGAATGGAGGGAAAGGGAAGTCCACAGAAACAGATTACAAAACCCAACAGGCCACCCTCAACTCACAACCCTAACATGATCTCCCAGGATTCCTGGACACCTTAAGCCAGTACCTTTACTCAGTGCTGTTAACACACCACTGTGTACAGTGGTTTGTTCTACAAACCTTATTGGGCATCTGCTGTATGCCTGACACTACTGGGTATGGAGATGACGTAGTGAGTGAGTCCCCATGTTCAAGGAGTCCAGTAGGGGGCAGAAGGTAAGTGATCAAACAAGGACCAGGCAGGGCACAAGGCTGCTGGGACAGGGAAGGCAATGCAAGGGACACTGACCCAGTCACGAAGCCAATATTGGAGATGGGGGGCAGTTGGAGAAAGAGAGAGGGGGGCACTCTGGCAGAAGGAACAGCATGTGCAAAGGCTCTGAGGCAAGAAGCAAAAAGTATGCCTGGGACTTCAGGTTGTGTCCTCAGGGGTGAGCAGGGGAGGACACCCAGAGGAGAGGACTATTATTGGAAGCCCTCAGTGGCAGGCCCGTTACCTCCGCTTCTTTCTTTACATGCCCCCTTGGATGGTTGATTTGCCCCAATAAATAATGCTGCCCTTTCTATAATCCAGACCGCACAGGTGCATGGTCACTGAGCATGGAGGGTGAATTCCAATCTCTGTTTGGCCCAGAGTTGCTGGGGGAAGATATTCAGGACAAACCTCTCCCCTGGAGCCCACAGCCCGGGGTATTTCCTCTCTGACACAGTGGGTGCTTGGTGGGTATGCCCCACACCCCCTGCTGTCTTAGTGAGGGTCAGCCAGGCCTGGAGACAGGGTGGGGCAAATCAGAGGCATTCCCTACTGCCACCCACAGTCAGACAGTCCCTAAACCTGCAAGGCCTCAGGTTCAAGGACAGGCCACAGGTATCCATGCCCAGACCCCCAGGCCTGGAGCAGCCTGGGGGGGTGGGGCCGGGGGAAGGCTGCTGCCTAGGGGCCACTCTCACAAGCAGCCCCTCAGTCCTGGGCAAGCAGGTAACTTAGGGAGACAAGAGACAGTGGACACCACTTGCTTCTGAGGACACCCGTTCCAGGTCAGGGATGCTGAGTCAGGCTTTATCTCTTGAGTTCTCTCCAGGTCCAGGAACATCCCTCCCCACCCATCAAAGCCATCACCCCGGCTTCCCAGGGAGACTTTACCACTGGGCTAAGCCTTTATTCCACAGAAAGAAAGCTGGCCACAAATTTAGTACTACCTGAGAAGTCTCACCTTAGCCTACGTGTGCATGATGGGTAACTGAGCCTTTCCATGGCTGGGTTTCTTTGGGATACAAGCCAAAAAGGAGGGGGAGGGGACGGAGGCAAATGAGCGTCTGGAGATGCATGAAAAAGCACGCTGAACACATCCAATGACTAGCTTCCTCACACCACCATTTGCTGGGGAAATTTATTAAAAGCAAATCTTTAATTCACTGCAGAGACAGCAGTAGAGATAATGGCAAACAAGGGATTCCCGCCTCCCTGGAAGACCTGCCTCAGGGAGGAATGTGTCCGATTCTTTGCCCAACCCCCAACCCACCCCCGGCCCTTAACCTCAGCCCCCAAACTGCCTTCCTCCTCACCTCATCTTGAGGACCACCCCCCCAGACCTCACTCAGTCCAGACCCCTCCCTGAAGCTCCCCTCCTCTGCCCTCACCATTAAGAACAGCTGGGACCTTGAATCAAACAGATCCAGTTCAATGAGCCCTTCTGCCCGCTGCGGGGGCTGTGAGACCGCGGGGACTCTGGAAGTTTCGGTTTCTCAGTTGGCGCGTCCCATCTCCCAAAAAGAACGTAGATGCCACCTGAATATTTACTGAGGGCGGAGTGACGGGAAGGGAGCCGGGGACGCTCTGGGCTCCGAGGCCTCGCCAAAGCCTGCGACTCCCGCTGCGGACGTCAGGGGGCGCCAGAGGCCGGAGAGACGACCGATCCTGCCCGGCGGCGCCAGGTCCCGAGTCCCCGCGCCAGGTGGCTTCCCCTTGGTGACCAAGAAGGCGCGTGCTCCACCTCTGTCCAGAAGCTTCTTGTTCGCCTCAGTTTACTGTGAGGTCACACAGCCCGAGTGGGCGGCCCCATATAATTAAAGCCCTTCTGCCTAAAAATAGCCCAGCTGCAAAGCCATTTGGAAAGAAAACTTTTTTTTTAACTGGATCTCTTAACATATAGTACTAAATTCTCTCCCCCTCCCTCTTCCTCTCTCTCTTTTAAAGCAAAGCATCTTTTCACCGAATTCCATAATCTCAGATTAAACTTGTATCATTTGTCCTTGGAGTTAACTAGTTCCTGTCTTACAATGCAGCTGTCCCCGAATGGGCAGGGGGACTATCCAGACGTTCACACCTAAGTGGGGTCCTGCTGGCTTCCCCTCAACCAGCTTGCTGCCAGAAGAAAATGGGAGCTATTTAAGAGAAGCTGGGAGGGGACAGAATTAGCCAGAGAAGAATCAGGTAGGGCTAAAGTGAGGGAAAAGTTTAGTAAGAGAAGATATTATACAGTACCAGATCGTAAAAGCCAACTACACAGATACAGATAATGTGCTCTCTCTCTCCCCACATATATGTGTGTGTGTATATAAATCTCAAAGCTGATTATAGACATACTGTAATCAAAACCACATTAATTGGCATAGGAATAATCAAAAGGAAAATGAACAAAATAAGGAGCAAAAACAGCCATGTATATATGAGAACTGAATATGTGACCAAGATGGTATTCCAGTGGGAAAATGATTGTTTCTTTGGTATAATAAATGATGCTGATGCAATTGGCTATCCGTTTGGAAGAAAACAAAGACTTTAACAGTCTCTCCCTTGGCCATGACCTGAGAGGAGCCAGAAACAGGGGTGGGAGGAGGTGGACTAAGGAGAGTAGGAGACAGACCCAGTACTTGTCCCACTGCTGGTCCCCAAGCTTTGGGGGATCAGGCCCAAGCTACAGACAGGTGTGAAGCTCATTGGATCCTAGATTAAAATTCTGATTTAGACCAAATGGATTTTTTTCACCTAGCAAATTAACAAAATTGACAAAAACTTAAAAGATTGATAATACTCAGTACTGGTAAGGATATTGGAAAACAGACATACTGACGTAATTAATGCTCATGGCAGTACAAGTTGCTTTGGGGAAAGTAATGTGCCATATGAAGTAACATTTAATGACAGCATCATCTTTGATCTAGAAATCCTACTTTTAAGAATTCATCTAATAGAAACAAAAACAACACAGTAAAGGTATACATATCTATATATATAGGTATATATCAATATTTTCTTTGTACCAAAAAAAAGGGAAAACAATCTGAGAGTGCTCATCAGTATGGAACGCCGGAATAAATCAGTACATCCATGCGATGGATGTGTTCTGTTAATTGAGCTGTATGTGTTGATCTTAGAAATGTGCATGAAACATTAACAACAAGAAAATTACATAGTAATCTTTATAATAGGATCTCTTTTTTTTAAAGGAAAGAAAAGAAAGAAAAAGAAAGTGTGTGTGTGTGTGTGTGTGTGTGTCTGTGTCTGTGTGTGTCTGTGTTGAAATGACATGGAGAGGTATGTGGAAGAACACACACCAGAACGACCCTTGGCCACCTTGCTGGTCATAGGATGCAAGGAAGAAATAGTTATTCTTTACCCAGGTCTTTATTGTCTGACTCAAGCCAATGCTTCAAAAACCCGGGCAGCCACCTTATGCAACTAAAAATAAAATCTCATTACGTAGTGTAAAGGGGAAAAAAATGAAACATGATCCATTGTTTTGGCTTAAGGTATTGCTCCCTCCCAGGGTGGGGGCCATTTCTCACAGTGGACACAGACTGGGCGCCCACTAAAGTTTTCTCAGTAACTGGTTGACTTGGAGTCAGGTGCCTACTTTCTTTGGGCCTCATCTATAAAATGATCGTTCTGATCATTTCAGAACTATAAACTCCAGTAGTAAGCTGCTTGTGTGGAAAGTATGTTACCTTGGGACATATTTCAGAGGCAGTAGAACCTGATCAGCGGTGTGTTGGAGCCGAGGGTTGTGGAGATGGTGGTGTGAAGGGCTTCTACTGATTAGAATTGAGGGAGGGAGGGATGCCCGACCTGTAAGAGAGTCATGACTTGGGCCCCAGCATTAAAGTAAGGCACCGTGAGAGTCTTTACAGTAGGATCTGGGGTTTCCTTTTTTCTTCTGTTTAAGAAGTTTGGCATGAAAAGGAGAGGAGTTGGTGTGAAGGAAAGGGCAGTGGATGGAGCACAGACAGAATCTGCAAGGCTGACCCCTGAGGACCACTCCAAACAGCCTTGACCTCTGCCCTGGGGAGCTGTCTGCCCAGACAGAATGGTGTTTGGCTCCCGGGGGAGGAGCAGGCCCCGCCCCCCACTCCTCCAGCCCCGCCCCCGGGCCCCCAGCCAAACCAGACAAGGGGAGGAGTCTTAGCTCCTGGTCAGGCATTGCTTTCTGGCAATCTTTACCTTCCCATCAGGATGCCCTCCTCCTTGCGCCCCCTCCTCTCCCCAGCCTCTTCCTACCATCCCAGGAAGGAGAAGGGCTCACTCACCGAGGACCAGGAGGCGGACGCGGGACTTGGAGGTGCCGTCCAGGTCCGACAGCAGCGAGACCGAGCACTCGTAGGTGCCATTGTCGTCCATGGTCAACTGGTCAATGGTGACCGAGGCATCTGACTTCTCTACACTGCTCGATACGTTGACACGGTTCTGATAAAGTTCACCGTAGATGTAGGTTTTGGTCGAAAAGGTCCAGATGAGCACCCTTTCCTGGGAGGGAGAGGAAATAGCCCTTGGTCTTCACCCTACGGCCCTGGCACGGTGCCCCAGCCTGTCCTGACCACCCTCGTCCGCCGTTCCCGGGCCCAATCCCACCCAACAAAGAGCTCAAATACTGGTGCCCACTTGTGGATTCCTCTAATAATATATATATTTTATAAAATATATATATATTTTAATGACAATATTGAAAGCCTGGGGCAGGTAGGCAGCTCATATCAGGAGTATATGTGAATAAGTGAGGCTTTCTCAGATCCCAGCACTTTAACTTCTTGTAACCTCTGGCACCTCTCTTACCCACTCCATTTTAGTTCATTGTCTGGTCTCCATCAGTCAACCAGTATTTACTGAGCACCTAGTATGTGCAGGCATTGTGCTAGGCAGCCATCCTTGGCCTCCAAGCCCACTTTATTTATTTGACTCTTCCCTTTGGAATTTCTGTATTCATTGATGTACTCAACAGAACATGGTACTGGCAAGACCCTTACTTTCAAACCAGACTGCCTCAATTCAGATCCCAGTTCGCCACTTCCTAGTTGTATGACCTTGAGTGAAATGCTTGACCTCTCCAGGACTCTTCTACAAAGTGGAAATAATAATAATGACACCTATAGCATAGGATTTTTGTGAGGGTTAAGGTTGATAATGTACACAGGGCAATCAGGGCATTGCCGACACGGTAAGTTTCCTGTAAGTGCTGGCCATTGTGATTACTAGGCAGCTACTAGGTGCCTGACACTCAAAGACGAGTAACTCATGATTTCTGCCCTCAGGACAGTGAGGGTGATAGGCCACCCAGCATTACAGCATCGGAAGATTAGCTGCAGAGCCTCGGCAGAGAGGTATTACGTCTAAGTTGGGAAGTCAGAGGAGGCTTCCTAGCAGAGTTCCCAGAAGACAGTCCCTTGAATCTTGGAGGACAAATAAGAATTAGTCAAGCAAAGGGGGACTGGGGCAGTGAGTGTTGGAGTAGGATAAACGTATCTGGCATTTCAGGCAAAGAGAGAACAATGGGGAAAGAGCTAGAAGTGAGATACAATGTATCGACCCTAAATGTTCAGTATGAGTGGGGGTGAGTGTGTGAGTGAGGGACTGGTAAAAGGAGAGCTTGGGCAGGTCGCAATAAAGATCATAGTGGCTGTTTATTGAATATATGCCATGTGCCAGGTCTGATTCAAAGCACTTTGATTGTATTATTCTCATTTAATCCTCACAACCACCCTGTGATGTTAAGTATTATGATTATACCCATTTTACACATGATGAAACCGAGGCACCAAGAGGTTAAGTGCCTCTCCTAAGTGTATATGGTTGAGTAAATGCCAGGACTGGGATTAGAACTGGGCGCTCTGGCTTCAAAACCTGAGCTCTGGAGATTCTGCATTGCCAGACAGCAGACAATGTACCTGGGACTAAAGAGACTGCATGTTATCCTGTAAACACTGGAGAGCCATGTGTTTTAGGAAGTTAGCTTTCAACACAGGGTGGAAAATGAATTGAAAGGAGAGGGAACCAGTTAAGAAATTGGTTTAGCAATTCAGGTGAAAAACGATGGGTCTTTGGACAAGGCTGTGGCAAGGCAGATAGGAAGAATGGAGTGAATTTGAGGAAGGTTAAAAGTGGTGGGAGCAATGGGACATTGGAGGGATTAAATGTAGAAAGTTAGGGAGAAGCAGATCTCAGGGGGAGAGCTTTTTGGCCTGGATGTTTGAATGAATGGTGATGTCATTTCCAAGAGAGGAAAAACCTAGGAAGAGAATGTTTTATGAAAAAATAATGCATTCTGTTTACATTTGGTATGCCCGAAGTGTGGACAGGGTACCCAAGCATAGAAGCTCAACAGAAGCTGCACAGGTCAGCTGAGTACACCTGAGGATGAAGTGGGAGTCAACGACATGCAGATGGCATCAAGCCATGGCCTTGAGGAAGCCACCTCAGGTGAATGAGTAGAGAAAGGGCAGGTCCTAGTGTTTCTTCACTCTGAAAGGTCAGGGAGAGGTCAGAGAGATGAGAGGGTAAGCCAAGACAAGAATACCAGGAAGCCAAGTGAGGGAGGTTCCAAGATGGGAAAGTGGTTGATAGTCAGAAAAGCTAGCGAGAAATGAAATAAGATGAGGACTGAATCAGCACACTGAATTAGCAAGAGAGAAGTTGCTGGTGATCTCAGCGGCGTGTCAGGAGAGGCAGGCAGACCACGCAAGCTAGGGAAGAAAGTGTGGGGGTGTCTGATGCCTGTGCATGTTCTTTAAGCAAATCAAGAAAAGGTGCTCTAGGTTTTGGACAGACAGACCTGTGCCAGGCTAATGGAAAGCCGGCCCCCCAGGCTGAGCACCCTCGTGCAGGGCGTAATCTGCCTGACCACATGCGACAGCCCTGGTTGGGGCAGATAACTCTCAGTGAAAAATGCAAGAGGCAGAGTAGTGCCTACAACATGCTACTATTTGCGTCAAAGGAGGGGGAAACAGGAATACATACACATATACACACGTGTGTGACTATATATATTCACATTTTCTTGAATGTGCATAAAGAATTACTAGAAGGATACGCAAGAAACTAAATCGGTTATCGTAGCTCAAAGGGATACGCAATGACTGCAGAAGAGATGACCAATCAGTCAGAATAAATGCTGGCCGCAAACAACCAGTACCAGCGGAAATTCGCCTTGCCTGGGAGGGTAGGGGGATAGAGGGACTGGGGCGTGGAAGCAGGGTGGATGGGACGGGGTTGGGGGTGGTGGTGGCAGGGATATGAATGCGACTTCTCCATGTATACTTTTTATGATGTTTTAATTTTTGAACCACGGGATTACATTATCTACTCCAAAATAGAAAATAAAATAAAATCTCCCTCATACTCCCCTCAAAAAGAACCCAAATGGGGGTGAAAAAAAACTATAACAAAATTTGACCTCAGAAAGAGCTCTATGCTAATCAAGAGGAATAACTGACTCAGATGATACCGTTTAGGTCATTTGTGATTGGCCACCAGAGAAATGTTTTAGGGAAGGTGACTTTTTCAAAATAGAGGTAGCACAACGTTGTCCTCCCTGGGTCCAGCGTTCACTGCTCCCCTCCTCCCCAGCCCATCCTGTGTGCTATCTAGGTTTATTCTAGGCACATTTATTGAAAGGCTTTTTAGCGCTCGTCCTCCAATAGGTCATGGTCAAGGTCATAATACTCATCCCAGTGATGCTCCCAGCTTTCGAAAGAACCTTACCGTGTGGCTCTTTAGAAGCTTGTCCCATTGGATAAATCCTTCTCGGCTGAGGGAGGAAGTGTGGTAGGTGCATGGAAGGGTAACGCTCTTTCCCCGAGCAGCTCGAAGAACATCCTTTGGGGTTTCCACAGAGATGGCATGGACAGTCACCCAGACTGGAAAGAAAGTGGGAAGAGAGGGAGAGAAGTGGAGCTATGAGGATGCTTGTGGTGAGGACTGTCCAGG